TAAAATGTCAGGTGACCTCCTCGTGATCATCTCACAGCCTCCCATAACAACATTGAAAAGAAAATCTATCTTTTACTCATGTCCTCCATAAGATCTGCACTTTCTTCCCTCTGGAAGACTGGTGCCAGATTTTTCCCAATATAAATTATATTAACTTTAAAATTTAAATATGGAAGTGATTTTTTTCTAAAAAGATTGAAACAATGATTTTCAACTCTTTTGATTGTTTCCCCTTAGTTTTTGTATTAAATAATTTTCCAGCTTGGACTTTGATATATGAATAATCATGGTTCTCTCAAAAGCACATTTTTTAAAAATAAATTCATTCCACGCAGAAAAAATCATGTCCAGCTCTACCTGGAATTTTCTTGCCCACAATGCACACTATCCCTCTAGCAGTGACAAGCTTAATTAATATTCCTTTCTACCCCCATCCACTCCTCACCTCCCAAATGACCCCTCTCAAAACAGGGGTGTAGGTGTAAAGAAAATGCTACAGCCCCATAACACTGCATGGTGCAGGAGAATCTTCCTTTGGGGCAGAATTGACTAAGCTCCTTCTAAAGAGAGATGAAAAATCATGATTTCAAAGTTATTTAGAGTAACATTTGCTTCAAAAGAACACACTCAATGGTGGCTTTCTTAGCTCAAGAGCTGGTCTGAGGTACATTTACAGAATGTAAACTCTGTGCACTGTAAACTTGATGCAACAACACAGCTATGGAAGCACAGTTTGGGGGCAGATTAGGACCCATCTCATGTTTCTCAAAGGTATTGCCTTTTCCAAGCTATGGGGGAGGCTCTGTGCTGGCAACACGAGTTCACTTCCTCAGTGGCACTATTTGCATGCCCCTGTTCAGTGGTCATTTCTCCACCCCTCTGGTTTCTGAGTCTGCCCCTGCAGGTGCTGCCCTCCCCAGCCAGTCTTCCCACAATGGACAGAAAACTGGGCAGAGCAGCACACAAATGTGATGGAGGGAGAGCCAGAGGCAAGCTATGGTTTCACACAATACAGTCTGAATTGTTCAGTTTCTGGAACAGCCCGAGGTAGCCAATACCAAAGTAGATGCCATTGTGGGCATGAAGGAGGTAATGTACAATTTACTGCATCAGTAAAGATGATTTTCTCTAACTGACCTTTTTTAGTTTATCCAAAAGGAGTCAAAAGTATAAGGATCAAGTGCATATGTTTAACTAACATACTTTAAGGCCATTATGCAGACATGTTTGTATTTAAATACATCCTCTCCCACAGTAAACATCTGTTTTTATAATAAGGCCAGGAAGAACAATTACATCATCCAGCCTGACTTCCTTTGTAACACAAACCTTTTTCAGTCAGACATTCCTGTGATTAAATAAGATTGTGTTCAATTAAAATACATCTAGGAATCTGTCCGTTCTTGATTTGAGGTCTTCAAGGCATGCAGGATCTACCATCTTCTGGTAGTTTGCCATGATTTGTGCTAAAATATTAATTGCCTTGCTTACACAGAGGAGTTTTGAAAAAACACTAGAGTTTGTTCACCTCAGGGACTGCCAACAAACTTGCATATCCTGCCATAGCAAGAGAGAGAGCAGCACACTGAGCCAGAGCCCTCACACTGTTTAGTGGCCAGACCAGATCAGTGACAGGATTTGCCTGACAGCAGATGGTGTTGCCCACGTTACACATCCCAGCAGTCATGCAGGAGACTATCCCCAGTGGGGCAGCAGGTGACAGGGAATCAGTTATCAGACTTTCTAAACTCCTCTTCCTCACCCCCATGGTAGTGCCACAACCTCTCCTCTTCTCAGCAAAGCTGGTGCATTTTTCACCTGGGAGGCCAGTCAGTATTTCTAACGTGCACCAACACACATGGCTCTGAATGCATGGTAAATATGCCACTGAGAGGTCCATTCCAGCCCCTTTTCTTGGACTCAGCTAACAAAGAAGGGAGGCTGTAGCTGGAGGAAGTTCTCCACATGGGAGAGCTTGTATTTAATCTGCTGCCAAAGTTACCTGGAGCTGCCTGGCTACACAGAACGCAGCATAAAGCTGGAGAGATGAAACACAGCTGGTCCACGGTGGGCAAGCACCCTGTCACACTGATCTCAGGTGGCAAACAGTGCTTTGGCATTGAAGATCTAGCAATCTGTCCTTCTGTCATACCCCATTCTGATGAAACCTCAGCATGGCCACGGAGGAGTATTTCTGAACGTGAAAGATATTGTTGGCTGCAGAACGGTTGTGGGAGGGAAAAACAGCTCTGGATCAAAACCACAAAATAGGAAAGCAGGTGTGCACAGAGAGCACAGCTCCTTTAGCAATGTCTCTGTCACAGGAATGGAGACCACTGAAATTCTGCACCAGCTGGTTCCATCAACCAGGCTACCTGAGACTTACATGATGAGCCACCAGTGTCTGCTAAACACACAGGCCAAAACAACATGCATGTCCTCTCTGTTTAGGAATGCAGACATTGTCCTACTCCTCCAAGGTCAGAGTAAACATCAGGACACTGGAAGGCAATGGAGATTTTTATGATGGAAGTCTCTAGGTGCTGGTAGCTGAGGACCAGCCAAAATACTAACCCACATCTGCTGATCCCACCAGTAGCACCACCACAGAAGTTTCCTGCAGCACACACACTTCTCATTTCCAGTCACTCTTCCCAAAACACCCGTTTTCTGTAACAGAGCCCAGTGGTGTCTCTGGTGAATACACACTTGCACTCCTAGCCACAACAGCAACAGGATTTTGTATCAGACAGAACCATGTGATGGTCCCAAAATGCCACATCAGCAGGGTTCAACCACACCAACAGATGGGTGTAAATGCAAATGCAGATCAGCTGTGTCCTCCAAGTGCTACCCAGGGCCAGGGCAGTTCCAGACTGGGAGGAAGATGCTTTATTTCACATTTGCTCAAGGGTCTTGTCCCAACAGGTATCAGACACCTGATGCAAGTGCACAGGCTTTCACATTGCTCTCTCCAGACTTGATGCTCAAATTTTTTTGTGTTCTTAGCTCATTGAAGGGCTGTCACATGGAAAGCACAAGATATTGAATGAATTTTACAGATAGCCAGTGGACCTGCTCCAGGAGAGAATTGGTCCAATACAATTAGGGTAAATACTTTCTACATTTTTTTTTCTAACAGGTTAAAATACTTCTGCTGCAGCCTGAGAAGAGGCTGCAACAGTAGGTGGGAGAATCCAGTAGCTGACACAGCTACTTTTGGTGTGTAAGCTGAACAAAAGGGGAAGAAACCATCTAAATAATGAGGAAAAAGTGCACTAGGTCAGTATAGCTCATCCTAACTAAGTGTAACTAGCAGGAGAAGGAAGAAAAAATATCTTACCAATATTGCTTCACAATGTCTTTTAAGTGTTTGGGGACATTTCATTTTGCAGAAGAGTTTCAACCAATATAAACATGCCAAATATAATCTTCAGTATCCTTACCTACTTGTACCAGCAACATGAGTCACATGCTGCTCTATAAATTTATATTATAAACCCACTTAAATCTATGCATAGAAAGTGATATACATCATACCCAAAAAAATGGTTATTCTGGGCTACTTGGCAGTTCAGGGAGTGGTAGGTTTTTAACCTTAAAAATGTGTTTTGTAGAAAATATTTGATGTACTTATTCTCCTAGTAACGTCTTAAATTATTCAGAGAGATTCAACTGCAATAATTTTTTTTTTCAATGGATGGTCTCACTTAAAATTTCTTCATTTCACATGTAAAGCTTTGTTTAAATAAAGTAGAACTATTCCTATTTAATTTTTTTTATCATTATGAAAATTCTTCTTTTCATGTTAGGTTCAGCAAATGATTCTTTTCTTTAGAGCTAGGGAAGGTTTTTAAACAAAATATGTCATTGGCCAAAGATGCAGTTGTAGAGAATTTGGGGGAAAATTATTGGGAAATTTAGTTAGATCTTGATAATTACTTTGATAAAAAGAGTAACGCTTTGGAAATGCTGAAAGCCCAGATTAGGCAATGCCCAGAAAATTCAGCTTTCATTTGCAGAACATTTTTATTTAGAAATTTCAAAAAATTAATCAAAGTGCTTCATTTGACCTTAAGCCAAATTTGTTCCTTTTTGCAACTTATATTAGATCCCTCAGGAAGCCGACAATTTTTTACTTTCTATTATCAACTTAAGATGATAATTTTTCTTTTGTCCAATTTTCTGAGCTAAACAGAATGTCAGTTGCATATACATAGGATTTTTCACTCAGAATTTTCTGAACAAAAAGAAATTATGTCTGAAAGGTATTGCTGGCATTGCAGTGGGACAGTATGCCTGAATACACTGAATACCAAAGGCTTTTCTAAGCATTTGAGTGTGTACATACCAGTACTTCTCTTTCTTACACTTAAAACAGATTCCTAATGATCTGCCAAATCAGGACATTTGATTCAATGGAGAAAGTGTCACCCCAAGAAGTTTTGATCAGTGCTTCTCTTAGTGACAATGTGCTGTTCATGAACTGGGAAATATTGAACTAAATGCAATTCTCAGAGCACCCCTCTTAAGCACCCATGAATCTACAGAGTGGTTGCAGTAAAGAGATTTCCAGTCAAGCCTTTGAAGAGAAACACCTGGTGCTGCTCCTAGCTGAAATACTCACCAATAATTCCTTGGGAAATATCTTACTACTTTTTCATTTAAAAAAAGACTAAACAGAAAGCACAAGGCCACACAAAATTGACTTCTCCATGTTGGTATAACAACCCTCCCTTCCATAACGCATGTGAGCCTGTTAATGGCAAGCAGCAACCATGCACAGCAGTGAAGAGATTTCATCCAGATCATTGGGAAAGTACACAGTCCTAGCAGAGCCCAGGAGGTCTGGCTTAGTGACAGTGAATTCCACAGATACCTCTTCCTGTATTTGAGTGTCCGTTCACTTGGATGTGGGTCGTGTCTTTGTGTTCTGGGTGGGAATTGTGTGCTGGTATGGCAACACCAGGAGCAAGGTGTTTCTTGACTGCTGGAGCTCCTCAGGCCTGGTAGCCAAAAGCTGATGCTCTCTCTCTGAGCAGCTCCTGGCACAAATGACAACTCCAGCTCCCTGCAAATGAAGAAATCCTTCTTATAGGATTGACATGAAATCAAGGCTCTCAGAGTTTCTGTCAAGATTGGGTTGAATAGTATATGAGATATTCCTAATATTGGAATTGCCTGTACTTTTGTGAAGCAGACTCTGCTGCCCTTGCCTTTGCATCCATAGGCTTTCTACGTGAGCTGCAATGCTGCTGGGGTGTGCACTGCAATGAGGTGTTTTATATTTTCACACTTCCAATAAACCACTTCCCAGTGGAAACCTTTAGATAATTATTAGCTGCATTTCAAGATTTTCCCCTCCTGATTTAGCTTCCTTTTTACCAAAGTTACAAACATTAGCTCCTGAATGCACGATTAATTTGTAATTATTCTTGTCCTTCCCCTCATGTAAACCGCAGTCACTCGCACTCACAAGCCTCCAATTCTACTGCTCTCTGAGGATTTCAGTCAGAGAACCTCTAGTGATAAGAGACTGGTTCCTCTGCTCCACAGCCAAGTGACAAATTCCAACCAGTCATAGTATAGTCCAATTGAACCCCCTGCAGAGGTTATAACTACATACCAAATATAATACAGACCACCAAACCCTCACCCTGCCAAAACAGAAGCATATCATAGAGAAAGGAAGGTAATTCCCTTTAATCCAGTCTCCTGCCAACAGGCTCTCAGAGGTTCCAGAGAGGACCTCCCTGCATGAGGCTCTCTCTCCAGGACTTTGACTTCTTAAGAAGTCCAAAGTTACATTTCACAGGCGCTCAATTCAGCTGACTAAATTGAGGTGACCAGTGACATGTGAGACATCCATGACCCACAAAAGAGCCATGTTCTGGAAGAGGAGGAGACCAGGCAAGACTGAATAGGATATCACAGATCACACTAGCGCTTCACATCTATTAATTTTGTTTCTTTCCAGTGCTACCTCCCTTTACTTCACTACTGTTTCCTTAACCCTGTATGGTTCAAAACACCTTTCTGAAATTTTTCCCTTCTCCACAAAGACTTTATTGTTATTTTCAAAGCAGACTTCAGTCATATGTTACCTTCTGGGGGCTCAAAGACTGGTGGATTCAAGCAATACATGTGATAGCCACGGTCACAGTCATCACAGAAGAGCAGCTGGTCCTGAGGCAGGTTTGTTGGAGAGACAGTAGGGAAACAGGGAGAGAAGGAGAGGAAAAGAGAGAAATTATGTAAATTAGTCTCTTGCCAAGATGAAAACTTAAGTAGGGTAACCAGCAATGTTCAGTTGGGAATGCAGATCTGCAACAACAGAGACTAAGAGACTGCTGGGAATGTAAAGGCTACAAGCATCACATTTGTCCATCCATGATTAGCCACCATATTCCTGAGAGGCTGCAGAAAGCCTCTCTCAGCACAAGACAGCTCAGTTTCTAAGTAGAAAATCACTATGAGAAGTGGAGGAGTTCCAGTCCTAGATGGCCTCATAATGCAGGAGTAAAAGCTGTTATGCCGGGGATATGCTGTACTGAGAAGAGGGCAGGTTTTGCTGGGCTCCAGTGTCACCATGTGCTGATCTCATTCCTTCAGAGGAAACCTTTGACTTAGACAGTTTTCCAAAACTCAGCTGAGTAAATTTTTTGTGAAACAGATGGAAATTACATGACCCCACCATGTGGTCTGCAGCTCTTTCATATATTTGGGGTGAAAAAAGCTGCTCTGAAGTATCCTGTGATTCCTAAGCTCCCCGGATTCTGATTTTTTTATGCTAAAGCAAAAACAAAATCTCAGGCTTCAAATTTATTCTGCTGTAGGGAATATAGTGTTAGCTAATCACCTCCAAAGTTCTCCAGCCACTGTCAATTTTCCAAGGTTCTCATGGGCTGCCAAGGACCCTTAGCATCAGATTTTAACTGCAAACCCCACAGGGAGGACACTGCTCAGCTGCAGGCTCTGGAAATCACTGGAGTTGGTGATTAGGTGAGGCTTAGCCATCCTACTTCAAATAGTTTCATGTTTCCCAAGTCTTGTAATTAAGTTTAAAAAATCATACCAAGAAAGTAAAGAAAATCAGGGACAGAAGGAGCATACTTGCCTCTCTTGGGTTATCATGTATTCACATCTGCTTCTGACTATCATGCTGAAAGCTCCCTGCAACATGAATTCATGGCCCCCAGCTAATTTCTATTGAATAAGTATACAAACCACAAGTATCAGCATCTTAAGTGGTATATATGATACCTGTGGTAATTTCATCAGAGACCAGTGGCTGAATGGGGACACTGGGGAGAATTTCTGTGCTCAGGGATGGCTCTTCCTTGGAGATGCATGGAAGCAGCAGTGAAACAATGACCCACACCAGTGCCACATGCTTCTCAAGGGTGGGCATGGCAGCGGCTTGCAGTGATGCTTATTTGCATGTAAAGGTAAATGGACTCACGTCATTCTCTGAGGTCCCACAAAGGCTGCAGGATTTGCACTCAATGCATTGCCACTGATAGGTTTTTACAGCCTCAGTCATGTTTGTGGTGAACTGCAGGCAGGTCGGGTGTCCTGAGGAAGATCGGAAACAATGGTCATTGTTAAGGCTCACTTATTGCTTGTTAATTAACCAGCATTAAATTTGGGAACAAAACACACACGGACATGGACTGATCACAACATGGGCTGCAACTAACAGATACCAAAGAGGAAAGCAGGCATTAACCCTTTCGCTGCCGGGCACAAGAGAAAATCATAGTTATTTCCACCCCATTGGCAAAGCAGTTTTATTCAGAGCTCTTAAAAATGGTTTGGCTTTGAGTTCGTTATTTGTGGGGATGTTTGGTTTTTTTTTAAGAAAACATGAAAAAGGATGAAATCAGAAACAAACCCAATTTCAGAGAGAGATCATCTGTCTTAATAGAAATTGGACTACAGTTTCAATTAGCGCTGTTTCGACCGGAACGAAGGACCTGGTGGAAATGAGGTTATTCTCCATTTCACAGCTTCCTTTCCTGGTGTCCAAATGGGTGGAGCAATTCTGTAAACTTTGCTTAAATGGAAGCAGTAGCGTACAGAGAAGACACAAGACTTCTTTTATTTATTTTTTTTTTTTAAGAGCTCTGCCACTAAAGTTGGTTGGCACAGAAGAAACCAAATTGCACAGCTAACCTTCCAGGATCAAAACAGGAAACCGAAAGGAAAAAAAACCCCAAGCCAATTCCCACAATGAACTAAATGAAAGGAATAAAGAAGGGAAAGCTAGCAGAACAGTCACATCTAATCGGGAAGGACAAATTGCCAGAGTTACAACCCCCGCCCCTACATGCGTGTCGACTTCAGCTTTGCAAAACAGCGGTACCACAGTAGCAGGGTCAGCAATGGGCTTTCTGGAGGGGAAAATACAAACAAACAAACAAACCAAAGGTAGGATGAGTGTTCCTTCTGCAAAACAAAACGAGACAAATACACCGCTGAAATAAAGTACTGTACTCCCAAACCACCCTTACCTGGCTGAAACATTATCTAAGTCTCCTGCAATAAGCTCCTGCCTGCCTTCTTGGAAAGCCCCATATTTAGAACCCTTCTCTGACACACTTAAACATTAAACTGTGCATGGTCAGAGCAGGGAGAGTCAATTGCTTGTCTGTAGAAAGACTAGGAACACAGGAACGCACATCTCGCACTGCTGCCTGCTTCTTCTAGAAACTGGCACCATAAGTTGTGGGGGGGGGGGTTCACCTCTACCCAATCTGCTGTTCTTAGACTACAACCAATGGAGTGGAAAAAATCTTTTCCACTTCCAGCAGCCTAAGTGCCTTTTTAAGAGAGGAGAAAGAAAGACTGTTTCTCCAGTAAGAAAAAAAAGGCATGTCTATGGTAGATGTGGGCACAGATGTGTCATCTTCATTACCAGACCTATCAGTAATATTTTGCTGCATCATCACAGTGCCCATCACCACCCTACAAAAACTTTCTGTATTTTCCAGCTAGTGAAGCAAAGAGTTGCTGAGAATTGCTGGATAAGGAAGTAATGCTGTAGGGGATGTATTTCTTTTATGTGTCCATTATACCACCAAATGCTGTAATAAGAATTTTTGCTCTCCAGTTATATTTGCATGGTTGTGATACAACAACTAAACCTGTCCAGCAAAGAAATGTATATGCATAATTATTAAAGAAATTGAATTGAAAATAAAGGAGATATTTAGAGAAGGAGGGATCAATCAAATTGCTCATATCACTCTTAAGCCTTTGAATAAAGAAAGATCTTGACAATACTGATGGGCTCAGATAGGCTGAGAAGATCATGGGGTTTTGGAGCCCTTGAAATGTCAGCACAAAACAAGTGACAGTTTTTGCTGAGATTTACAGTGGACCAACTAAAGTTCTGGGGGCCTTGAGACTGCAACTAAACAAAAGGAGATGTGACAAGATGCCTTTTCTTGCTGAGAGGACCACATATACTTTCTGATACTACCAAACTAGCAGAACCTGATATGACATTGAAATGTTTCTACAGATCTGATTTACATTGAATGCAAACCTTATTTCAACACCAGTAAATAGAACAAGTGTGCCATGCTACACATCAGGGAGGAATTCATCCCAACAGCAGAGAGTTGCTTCCAGAAATGTTGCACAGTGCTGGAATATATCAAGAAAACAACTCATATAGGGAGGTGAATTAATCAGAGACTTAAATAGCTTCAGTCACATTTGAAAAGAAACAGAAAGAATGGAATCAAACTTACAGAAATAAATCCCAGCTAAATGCATGCACATCCTCACATGCTCACTTGCCTGTGCACACACATTGCTCATTGCAGAGTCCAGCTGAGGACCCTCCCTTTCTAACACAACATGAGGGTCAGGTCCTGTTCACTGCTTTATCTCTATCCCTTTATAGCCATTCCTGCTCTCTTCCAGTTATCAGTCTTGCCTGTTTTGTTCCTCATTTAGCTCAAAAACACCTCTGCAGGTCTCCTCTTTGGCATCTCACATCAGTGGTGCTTCATCCTTGAAGTGAAGCATCCTGCCTATATTACAGAGCACTTCTTAAGAAGTGCCTACCACACCTACCACAAGCCTGAAAGAAATGGTCTCTTGTGGGCTCTTGTGGGAGTATTCCTTAGAAAAATCAGGAATAGAGCGAGGGCCACAGTGGTTTCTTTCTAGTAGCAAAGCAGAAGTATTTTGCAAGAACATACCAATTCATTCACCCAAATAGGCTCTCTCTCCAAGTACTGTGACTGCAAGAGTTGAGTCTGCATAGCTGCAGGTTGCCCTCTGTTAGCCCAGGGCTTATACCATGTGTAAGGCAAAAATAATGCCTTTCTTCAGCCTCTAAGTCAGATGCTCTTTCACATTAAGCAACATTCCTTGTGGTACCATGACCCCAGCTTAATGTCATTGGAAAGACTATTTTTACTTATGCTATCAGCATGGTGAGGCACTGTAGCATATGGCAAGCAGACCACTAGATACTCAAAATATTAAAATTCTTTTTCCTTTCCTCCCTGGTTTCTCCTTCTTCATGATCTCTTTCTCTTTCTTTTCCTGCTACTTTTGTTCCAAACCTAGTGTTTTACATGCTATGAGAAAATTCACACATCCAAGACTTCCTGAGGCAGTGTTAGTGAACACCATCCCTGCTCCATATCACAGAACTTCTTAGCGTTCCTTCTGTGTCAGAATACCTGAACACAAAGTCCTGTAGCTGCATGTTGCAAGCTACTACAGGTAGATTCAAATTCCCTTTCTTTTTTCCTTAAAAATAAAAAGGCTAATTCAGGCCACAATTATCTTTTACACACAAGGCAGTCCAAAATGTGATTCAAGTTACGAACACCGCGGTAGCACACAAGTCAGAGAGCTGACAGTCTTCTTGCTATGTGTTTAAGATGGAGAAGCAGTCTTATTTCACCTCATGGTGTGATGAACAGTGTTTGCTGTGGCTAAGGTGTGCAGCAGAGTCTGCAGCTGAAAGCCAGTTAATAATTCAGGTGATGGCTCCACCCTAGCAAACCCTGGATCACTCGCACAAGTCTGTATCAGCTCTGCAGATCTAATTGGGGGAGGAAGTAACCCATATTTATGGTGTCACCGAAGTCAATAGACAGACCTCTAAAATACACCCTGGGAGCAGTTCTGTTGAAGGAGAAGGCAATATGTTAACACTGATGGTTTCTAATCTACCACAACTATTGTCTACCTAAACTTTTGCTATGCTGCAATAGCTATAAGCAACTGACAGAGACAATAAAACTTGAAGCAGGGTTTTCAACAGCTCATCCCTTTGTCTTAAAACAATATTTTAAAGTGTAGATCAGGTTTGAAAGCTCTCTCATCTTTGTCAAAACTCTCTTCTGGATGTGAACTTTGAGACTGAGACCATATTTTATAGTGACATCAGTGTTTCACATGCCACTGGCTTTTATTGTACATTATGTCCACCAGACATCTGGTCAGAAGAGCAGAGAGGTGAGCACATTCAGAGACCATTTCTTGTATCCTGCACCTGCTACAATTGCAGGCTGATGGGAAGGATAATTTTAACATAAATACCCTAAAAATATCCAAAAATCTCTCCTGCTTACACTGGCTGCATAACACTAAAGACCAAAACTGACATTAAAGGGCAGGAGCAATCTGCTGCTTCCAGTCGCTCTGTGACCAGTGAAGGCCTTAGAATGGCTCATTAGTGCCTTTTCAATAATGGATTCTGCATTGCAAGATTAATTGCAGCCATGTGCTCTGTCACACCCGCCACAGACTATTTAAGTTAACAATCCAATCAATAACCTTTTTCAAACAAAGGCAGAGATTATCTTGAGGGGAAAAAATAAGCAAATACTCTTTTTAAAAAACAAATGTGAAATTATTTATACAGAATAAAAGGAATTTTTACCCAGTTTCCAATTCTTTCCATTATCTTCACAGTGTAGTGGTGGGCTTTTTAATCAATAGCGTGATGAAAACTCACAGGCCTCCTGGCTATATTGCATCAGATTTATTCCATAAACTTCCAGGTCTTTAAACAACTATAAATACATATTACAGATATAATGGCCTATATCACAGGAGCCCCATCCAAATAATGGAAGTTTACATGCAAAGAAAATGCAACATTTCTTCCTGCTAAGGCCCTTAAAAACTCAGACTATCTAGGAACGCTGAAGAACTTGGCTCTGCCAGAATCCCAGGGCTAAAGAAGCTGCAACTCTCACAAAAAGACCGAACATTCCTAAGGGATGAGACTGGGGAGCTCTTGGCATTTCCTGGCCCTTCCCATCTTGCACTGTGAAGGTGTTACAGTCTAGAGACATATGCTTGCCTGCTCAAATGGAGGTACTCATTAACAGAAGCCTTCAAAAGTGTTCATGGGGTGAGGAGCCAAGGCACCACCTGCCACACTATCTCTGTGATATGGAAAAGCAGGAGTATTTCATTATAGAAAAATAAAACAGCTTTCCTGGCAGCCAAGACAGGGGTAGATGTTGGAGGCTGCAGGTGAAGAGCTCTTGTCTCATCCCCTTCAGTACAGGGCCCTACTGAATCCGGCTTCTTAA